TTGTCTGAGTGTGATGGAATATGTGTTTTTCCTCTGTAAGCGCAAATGTGTAATTGTATAAAATGTGTGTGTGTGTGTCTGTGTGTGTGTGTCAGCATGTCTAATTAGCTCATACAAGCAGGTGTAAAACAGTAATTAATGACACAACCGACTGACTTCATTATCTCCACATGAGCTTCTCATGCTAGCTGTAAACACACACACACACACACACACACATGCAATCATACTTCACATTAGAACAACCCTGCAACACGATCAGGGCGGTGACGATACCTCGCACTACAGTAAGAGACGCATACAAATATGGACAATTTAAATCGATGATAAAAAGTATTGTGTGATCCTTCAAAGCGGAGGGCGCTGATTGTTTTCGGCGTCTCTTGTTTAACGTCAGTAGCTGAAGAAGAGAGGCGTACAGACATGGCAGAAGGAGGTGAAGACTGTGAGGATGAGAATGTGTCTTGTTTCAAAGCGGGGGCACCGATGTGGTGCCGCATGTAAAGCAGCGCTATGTTGAGAAGCACGAGACACCAAAAACATGAGTGACATACGCTGGGAAGGGGATTTGAAACCGTCCTTGTCCAAATGCGTGCAGGAGCCACACAGACAACGACACATTATGTGACACAAAGTCACTTAAAAGAAGAAGAAGTGTATTTGAAAAGCTTTCTGTCCCTCAATGCCACGACACAAATACATATAGTGTTTTATTAGTTACTATTCAGCCTCCAATTTAAAGGCAGGGTTGGTAATTTTCAAAAACTAGCATGATTTTGAAAGTAGTATTCCCTCAGTGCTCCGTCTGCACCCAGCCCCTCCCCTCTGTGCTCCCTCAGAAGCCACGCCCCCTCGCCTACATGCACGAGCGTCGCTGCTCCAGAAGCGAGTAAACTCCGTCATCGATGGCGCGCTTTGAGCGTGGGTTAGTGCACGCGTGGGGTAGAGAGCGAGCAGGGAGACAGGGAGGCGTCTGATTGGTTCATCAGATTGGTACCTCGTGTTAGACATTGGTTGAAGTTTTTACAGACTTACAAACTGATACAGATGATGGATTTTCTTTCTTTTTTCAGAGAACATGAGTTATTAATTTCTGTCAGGACCTAAAGACAATTACAACCAAAATCTGAAGATCTGAAGAGAATGACCAACCCTGCCTATTTTACAATTTGATCAGAAAATTGAAATGAAATAATAAGGGCTGTCCAACGATTATAAGACAAGAAATCAGCTATCACAAGCTGTGTGTGTGTGTGTGTGTGTGTGTGTGTGTGTGTGTGTGTGTGTGTGTGTTGTTAAGCCGCACTCAAAAATAATACAGCACAGCGAGTGGAGAAAGTGGACACAATCATCACACACACACACACACACACACACACACACACACACACACACACACACACACACACACACACACACACACACACACACACACGTCGCTGTTGGGCCACTCAAACACTCGTTTAGTTTGCAAATGGACTCATTACTAATGAATCACAAGCTGCTTTAGAGCAGGCTGAGCACACAGTAATGGTTTGGCCATCCTCCAGAATACTGAGTCGACAACACACACACACACACACACACACACACACACACACACACACTTTGACAAAGATTGAGAGCGAGTGTCCAAAAGCCCCAATTACCTTCACATCCAATGTAAGAGAACAAGCTAGAAAGCTAATTACGAGCTCCACACATGTAGATGAGAATTGTTTAAGCACACACACACACGCGCACACACACACACACACACACACACACACACACACACACAGTCACCGAGCAGATGCTAAGCTAACAGAGCTATCGTTTTCTCTTTTCTTCCCCCCCGCTGATGGTTAGTGTTAATAACAAGCTCGTTATGGTAAATGCGGCTGTGTCACTGTATTTTTTACCATTAGTCATTATTACAGCGACCTTTATGGAATCATCAATACGATTGCATAATTGAGCAATTCCAGTTTTAGCTCCGATTGATTTACACTTCAGTGCTCTGCCAGGCCCTGAATGAGATCAAACGATATTAGATGCCTCCAAATGCACCGTCTTGTCATTCAGTAAGTGGAATAAATATATTTTTTATTTATCTTTCAAGAACTATCAATCTCTTTTCTTTCTGGTAGTCTGCCAAGAAATAAATATTGCTGATCTCTCCCTCTCTCTCTCACTCTCTCGCTCGCTCTGAGTGAGTGAGATGTCACTGATTGGACAGAGTAATTGGACCTAATGAATATGTCAACAGCCTGTTTCTTTCTCCCTCCATTAAACACAACTGGATTAGATTTACTGTGCTTACTCGAACAACTTAAAGACTCCATCAGTAGGCTACTTTCCACACACACACACACACACACACACACACACACACACACATACACACACACACACACATCTGCACACACTCACACTAAGTATTGGCTCAGTAGATCAATGGCCTCTTGGTCAATGTCTCCTTCGGGAGGGTAATCTATCTGCTCCTCACTAATGAAACGCTCTGATCGCTCTGCTTGCTTGTGCGTGTGTGTGTGTGTGAGTGTGTGTGTGTGTGTGTGTGTGTGTGTGTGTGTGTGTGTGTGTGTTGAATGTGCACTCATGGGTGTCAGATTGTCTCTAAATTCTTTATGTGTGGTGTCATGTTGTTTGTTCTTGGTATAATTACAGACTTAATCTATCCTAGCACACATTAACACATTATTACTGTGTGTGTGTGTGTGTGTGTGTGTGTGTGTGTGTGTGTGTGTGTGTGTGTGTGTGTCTTTATTTAAAACTACAATTACCATGAGCCGTTCTGCAACACGATATCCCGTCAGATATATTGAATAAAGCCCTCTGCAGTATCTCATGCAAACAAAAAACATTTTTTTGCTTCCCTTTTTTATTTCAGTCAGCAGGTTTACAAAAATATTCGTACCAAAGTATTTTCATATTTTAGACCAAAGTGCGTCGCCGGGTGAGCATTTCCTGCTGTTTTTCTTCTTCTTCTTTGGTGTCTAAAAATGTCCTCAAAGTAAGCCCCGTGATCAAAGACAGAACAGGAGTACAGAGTAAAGAGTGCACAGTGAGATACAACGACCCGAATGGTCACGCAAAGGCAAAAAAAAACAACAGAAAGTCCTTTTTCTTCTAGGAAAAGCCTTTTGAATTAAAAATGTGAAAGTCATGTTTGTGGTGGCAGTCCGATGGAGGTGATGTAACTCTAAGGTGACATCATCAGTCCCATTAAGGCCATTGGGTCTATTTCAGGGGCGGGCAACTGGCGGCCTGGGGGCCACATGCAGCCCCCATCAATCAATCGACAATTTTTACATATCAATTATTTGGAAACATGAAGAAAACATGACAAAATCTGCCATGAAATCATGAAAACCAGAAATATGTTCATAATAATATTTGATCACTGGTGTATGTTGAGTTAAATTTAAGACATAATTGATTGTAATCGTTTTTGTATCCTAGAATTTGGCCCCCTGGCAGTGAGAATTAAATGAATGTGGCCCTTGCTGTGACCATCCCCGCTCTAGATAGATGCATTACCTCCTATTTCCCATATCTTTTTTTCTTTAGCTGTCAGGCCTGTTTTGGTTTTTGTTCTGTCCCTAATCGTCACAGTTTGGACGTTCTCGAAGAAGAAGAAGAAGAAGAAGAAGAAGCAGATACAATACATGTCCTGAAAATATCAGGATTTAAGGATTCAGGGTTTCAAGCCTCGGCTTTGGGAACAACCAAAAGGATCTGAGGATGTGAGCTGACTCGTACGGTGTCAACAGATCTGCTTGGAGCGAGACCCATACAGGCTTTAAAAGTGATCAGGATAGTCGTAGAACAAATTTGTACGGCATGTTGTCTGACATCAGTTTTTAAAGTTTTCTCATTGAGCACACTGGATGGCGGTCTGTCGTTGAAAAAGGACATGATTTTAGCTAAGAAGGTGGCTAGCTGCTCACATTTCCAGACAGTTTCTCCTGTAGGACTCTCTTTGTATTGCACTCTGTTATTCACAATAAAGGTGACAGAAATAGTTGTGCATCCATCCATCCACGTATGCACGGGGAGAACATACAAACTCCACACACAGAGGCTCCAGTCCCACAGGGATTCTTACCAGGAACCTCCTCGTTGTGAGGCAACAGCGCTAACCACTGTACCACCATGCAGCCGAGGAATAGTTGTGATGAGGATTTTTTTTAAATAGAGTCAGGAAAAATGTACTTGCAAGCCCTGGCACCTTTCTCACCTCCGAGCTTCTGGCCAATCACAGCATGAGCTGAGCGCGGATGTCGCATTTTTACGATTTAAGATACCTACAAAAGCGGCGACAGATCCCTCAATCCCCCAATCCAACGTCTCCGTTAGATAAGAGGGGGGTTTACAAAGCTACTGAACCATCTGACGAGTACTTGTGATGGCTTCTGCTGGCAGCTCTGGGGTGTGTTCTCACTCTTTCTTTCCAAGGCCGCATACATGCATTGCAGCCAGGAGAGCGTGGCAGTGTGAAGTACAGTAGGTCAGTGATTGGCAAAGGAAGACAGAGAAGACAACACCCCATAAAAAAAAAAAGGAAAGTGATACCACCTCCCTTCTTCCTGCTCTGCTGTGCTGGGGTCTGATGAAGTGTGGAGCTTCAGAGGGGAAAGGGAGGGATATTGTACAGGTTCCAGAGCTTTCTGCAAATCCATCAGGGCTATTTTTAGGACGAATTATTTGTTTATTTAAAGTTCTCCCTCATAATAAGAAGATTTGAGAGCAGCAGTCTTATGATTTTTTAAATGATACACATGAATGGTATCGGGCGCTGCAGCTTTAGCACTTTGAAATCTCTTCAGATCTTCACTTCCTCGTGCATCCCACTGCGAAGCGTCTTAGAAAGTTGTTGCTCTTCAACTGCACCCTATGATAATCTAACTCCAATCTCTCTTTTTTTTCCTTCTCCTTTTCCCTCTTGTTCTCCCCCCACTCTCTCTCCCTCCTCTTCTTTCTACTCCTTCTCTTTGCAGTTTGACGTGTTGAAGTGCTACTTAAGGTAAGAGAGAATCTCATTTTGTGTCTTCCTTCCTCTTTTACTTTCTTCCCTCTGATTTTCAAAAAGCGTAAAAACACAGCGTGCCATCCGCACTTGGCACAGTGTGTGTATCGAGAAACAATCTGCGTCCTCAAAAATGCATTTGGCTCTGAAGCGTGCTCACCGGAAAAACAATCACATTGTGTTAAGATAACAAAGAGACACTCTGGGTAACACTTTCCCGAGGTAAAGCTATGATTAGAAATGCACAGACAGGACACGTGTCCCCCTATTAATAAAACATCTAATGGAAAAGATATATGATAAAGGCCGTGAGAAAAAAAGATCTCTGCAGTACACACAAAGAGAAATAATTCACCCTAAATCCTCTTCTGCTCCGTCTTAAAACTGTACCCGCCTGTCACAAGCTTTTAGTCATAACCGGGTCTGTGTGGGAAATCACTGCCTTGTAGTTAAAAAAAAAAGAAAAGCAACGCTGCTGTTATTGTTTATTTATGGATTACTGGTTTCAGCTTTAGTATATCTCAAACTTATTACTTTCTGACTGGGATGTTGTGTAATATCAGCAGACTCACAATACTTGAGGAGGAAAATGAAATGTGCTACAGTGCAAATACAAACAGGGCCTGACCTTGTGTGTGTGTGTGTGGCGGGGGGGGGGGGGGTCATACAGGATGTGTTCATATCTGACTGCAGCCTGAGCATGGACTCACTGTAAGATGTGCATGCAGGTTATTCAATCATTCGACAATTTCACCTCAAAATGTGATTTTGATTCATTTGAATCTTCAGCTCTAACTTCATTATTCTCCAACATTCTCTTTCGGACCGATTTGGATTTTTGGGGCCGATACTGATATCGATAATAGGAAGAGAAAAACTCTGACATTGGCCGATATCTTTCTTTGAGCTATGCTCGATTTTTCAGAGATAGATAGATATAGATACGCACATTTATTGTGTTGATCCCTCAAATGCAGTTATCATACACTTGTTGTAATCCATGTAGCGCCCTCTGCTGGTGAAAGAGAACAGCTAGTGTAATACAATGAAATTCAAATGAAATGCTATTTGACTGACACACATCTGTGATAAAATTAGCCGATAGAGATATTCAATTGATAAGCTAATATCGGCCGATATTATGGGCTGGCCAATTAATCGGTGGGTCTCTAATTTTCTCTTTGGCTCTTTTAACTAGAGATGAACTGAAACTCAAGTTTATTTCTTGTTGTGTATTTATTTGATCAGAACTCAAAGAAATGGAGACAAATTAAAAAGTTTATTTTTACATTTGAGAAAGAAAGTTTCATTTTACCTTTTAACTTTAATCAACACTCTCAAGACCCAGCACATCTGTGAGTAATGCAACCCCCACACTGACAAAGTGTGCTAAAATTCTGGAATATAATAAGTTTATGAAGATATAAAAAGCTCTCCTTGAACCTCAATGTTTTTGTTTTCATTTGTTAAATTGTCGAAAGACTTTATTCAAGACTGGTTTGAGATTGCAGCGAATAGTTTCTGGGCCTGTTGCACCAAAAGTTTGCACAGCTTTGCGCCTGCTAAACTTGTGCAAAAGAGTCAAAAAGACAATGTTTCATTCATAAAACACACAAAGGGTTAAATGCACTGTGTCTCTGTGCACTGATGCTGTTTGCAGGTATTTAAATGAACCACAATGCGGTCATTTGTGGAAAAATCTGCCCCTTTCTACGCAAATGGCCTCATTACAAAATGAGTCTAATTCACAAACAGCGGCGCTAATAGCCATTAACCGAGGCAGTTAGTGAAAAATGACTGCTGAGAGTAGGTGGTACAGTATTTATAAAACATGTCATGTGCAAACTTTCAAGTGATCAGGAATTTTTTTTACTGCCGATGTTAAACTTTAAAAGAAATGATCTGCAAATAAATCCTGTACATATTACGTTGGATTGACTCTGTTATCAATATAGTCTGAGTCTTGAATCAGTCTGAAGCTGTCAGCGGCTCGACATGTCACGCACATGTCTAGGTCCGGATCCGTTACGCATGACGAGGATGCTAGTTTTTCTTTACCTGATCTGTTCAGGGAGGGAGCGCTGTGTTAAACAGTTGAACTCCTCAAAATACAATTGAAAAAGTTCCCCTCTCCTCCTAGCTCATCTTTTTTTTGTGGACATGATAGAACTCTGTCAGCGTGAGAGCACAGCTCTGACCAGTGTAAAGGTGCGGATAGCTTCTCTCCACTGTCAGATGCAAAACAACAGCAGGGCTTTGGGGCGTTTTGGGGACTGGATAGCATTTGCACTCTATGTTTTGTGATTTAGACCTTAACACAGAGCAGATAAGAGCAGCAAATTATGCATTTTTATTAGGTTATAAGGCTGCAATCCATTCTTAGTGAATCAGGCCCTCAGTGTTGTGTTTATTGTTGATTCATGTAGGATGATGGCATCACGTGCAACTCAGCTTGTCAAGTTTACATCTTAAGGCATATCTGCTTCAGAAGCCAATCAGCTGGAAGCTTAGTACATCAAGACAGACACAAGGTGTGGAGGTGATTGAGGTGGTAGAGTTTAAGACTCCTGGAGAAGCTGAGGATCAACTCATTAATGACATGCTATTTGACTGGTGAATAAATCTAGTAATATCTGTGATTAATTTAGCCGATGCCAATAGTCACTGCTAATTTTGGCCGATATTATTGGCTGGTAGATTAATCGGTCGGGCTCTACCAGGAAGGTCTGTGCGCTCTGAAAGGGTGGTCTCTTCACGGAGTAATATTGTAAAAGAAAAAGAGAGAAAACTGCACTCGATCCATCCTGATCAACTTAATAGATTTGTGTTTCTGGTGAATTATATCTTTTAAAAAATTTGACGTTCCTTTTTGATTTTTGACGTTTGGTAAAATGTTTTGTGTCAGCTAGCGGTGGCGGCAGCAGCAGCAGTGGTGGTGGGGTGAGGGAGGGGGGTTGAATATGTTCGGGCGTTATTTCATATTCTAACTTCGTTCAAAGTTGATTTTTTTTTTTAGAAAGTGTCAGCACTGGTCTGTAAACGGTTGGAAGGTGTTAATCTTTATCTTAAAGCCTCATTAGACAAAAATGTGGGCCAAACTTTAGTTTCAGCCAAGATCCGCAAAGCAAACGCCATTTTGGAGGGTTGAACATGTATTTAAAACATTGCTGTAAATCACATGAAACTGCTAACATATTTAGATTAAGCACAACAGAATGGTGTTATAGAGCAACAATAAGAATTTGGCTCAGAAAGGGATGCGCTGCATTTGAGTATGAAACCGTGCCACGTATAAATATTGAGAAAAGGCTGTGAAACTGTAATTACTGCTGAATTGTATCCAAAGAACCCACACTTATCTCCGAGCTGAGGACAAGTGGAGAGTCGTGCCAATCCTCAGAAGAAGTTAAGACATAAAAAGCAGCACAATTGTAGCTACAAGGTTTTAACCAAACACAGATGCCATGTTTGCGTGCCCTTTAGTGCTTGTTTGCTTTGGTGCCCAAGGTTTTTGCATCAGATTTTAACATTGCTGTGTGCATGTGTGCGTGGGACACAGAGAGAGAGAGAGAGTATGTGTCTACATCTTTAGTCCCTGTCTCTCTTCTTGTGTGTATCTGGTTCCCAGTGTTTGGAGAGGGCTCTGTTGGGACTGTGTGTAGAGCCTCATTAGTGGTTAAGGTTTGGCTGGCCTGCTGCTACTGGAGACTCTCTCTGGGGCACAAAGTCATATGTTACTCTGCTGCTGGACCATCTGCCATGTTGGCCCTCACTTGAGACTTCGAGTTTGGTCTCTTGTTTTTTTTGGTTTACTTGCATCCATGTAAACAGTGGTGGAAGGTAACTGGTACCAGTGTCTGACTGGAGTTGAATCTCAAGTCCCCAGTGTTTCAAGTCAGCAAAATCAAATCCAAATGAAGTCCCTGTTACCTGGATCAAAGTCCTCGAGGCTGAGCCTGAACCAAGATGGGGTAAAATTCCTACTTAAGGACAGCCTATTGCTGTGTTTTCCAACACACAAAAAGCAATCCCAAAATTTCCCCCAAATTATCAGGTTGAACGCAAACGGCACAAACTTTGCACCCTGACTTTACCCGGCCTTTTTTGCTCCAGTTCCCTTATTAAATATCGGTGTGGACTCTTGGTGAGCTGATGTGTGAATGCAGCAGTTCAATGTCAGGAAAATGTGTTGCAAAAATAGTACCTTATAGGAGTTTTAAAGTACCTCACCTGTCTTCATGAGCTGTGTGTGACAGCCACTGCTACTACTCTCCAGCGGCCCCGACCCTGTGGAGGCACACCTCATGGTTTGAAAACCTGATTTTTTTTAAACTACCAAATAGAGAAAAAGGTTTTAAACAGATTTTGCAGTCATTATGATGTTTAACTGTCATTATTATCAACCGTAACTAAGTTAAAGGTTTAGACTTCCTCCACTGTTAGTGCACTAAGCATGTCTGATATTATGTAAGACACACTGACTTCACCACGTTTCTCTAACACTAATATGTGTCTCTAGTCTGTCTACAAACCCCCCAATGATGAGAAAAGTCCACCCTTTCCGTTTTTTCCCTGCTCCACTTTTCAGAAAATGTGTGCTCAAACAGGCCGTTTAGAGATTTTCCCCTCATGACATCACAAAGGGCAGTAACCCCTCCTCCAGGTGGGTGACACTCCCACAGCTAGGTGTTTGTTCTGCCCTCTGAGTCCGCCTTCTTAACGTAAACAATAGGGTATGGATCCAGAAAGCCCGAGCTACCCAAGCCCTTCCAGAGAGGGGGCGTGGTCAGACATAGCTCATTTACATATTTAAAGGTACAGACACAGAAACAGCCTGTTCTGAGCAGGGCTGAAATAGAGGGGTTTATAGACATGATCAAATACAGGATCAGAGTGGATTTAGAACAAGAAACTTCACACACATGATTGTGGGAGCTCTGAGACTTATTTAAACTATATGTAATACTATAATATGTGTTCTTTAAGTTTAACTGAAT